GTCGGCTTTTGGATCGATGCATCGATACAAAACGATTATTATTTACACCCCTAGTCTCCGTTGTGTTCTGCATGTGGGTTAGGAACCTTAATCCCATCATGACACATTCCAATTTCTCTAAATTAGTGAAAAGCTGATTTGATCATATCCCAAATTCCTCCAGATAAACAAGATCCATCTTAAACTGTAATATGGTTTTCAACCATGTTTCCCCTTCCTCTTTGTACATAGAAGTTTAGTTGAGTTTCATTAGTCTTAGTTAAGAGTTGTAAAATAAAAAATGTTTGACTTGGAGCTGAATGAGATTTGTTAACAAACCTTTATATTTTGAACAGAAGTTGTGGTGAATTTATTCCATATATGTGCAGAATTCACTCTTTGACCATGATTTGAGCTTGAATCACTAATTTATTATTCTAACACAACTAGTAGGGCGTGTGTTCATAAACAAAGCTGACGAAAGCAAAGTTTGATGTAAAAAAAATCTTATTTGAAATACAAATCATTATTTCTAACCTTTTCAATGTCTTGACTCTATTTTCTATTAATTTCACAATGTATGGTGGTGAATAAGTGTGACTTTTCAGGAAAACACAAAATTGTTTGGGTGACCCCAAACTTTTGAATGGTAGTGTATAACAGCCGAAATAATGTCTGATTAAATGAAATACTTACCACCCCTACCGGGGAGGGCAATAAACATATTAAACATATTAGAAGTATACATTCTCAGCTAGCTGGGAATTAAATAGAATATAAATTCACAACTTAAATATGGCATCCAACCCTGATTGGCATATAATGTAAAATCACAACACTTGGGCTTAAAATATCTCTCCCAAGACAGACACAAAACTTTCCAAATCCACAGCTAAAAAAAGTACCATTATAGTTTAGCCCATGTTTTTTTTGTGTTTTTTTTAAAACACAGTGAACGATTTATCACTCAGTCTGGATTCACTCTTCTTTCAGCTGCATCTGAATGAACAGATACACATTTATTTGGTTGTTGACTAATAACATTGCTAAGAGCTATAACCTAAATTACTAAATTGGTGAAAGACAACTGGATTTTTAACAACCGGAATCATGGGTTCTAACCCTTTTAGGAAAGGGGCTAAAACCCTGGTCAGTAAGCAAATTACAGTTAAAATCATTCAACTGATAGTAAATAACTGGCTTTACCCTTGAATGACATATTAATTAAATAACTTCCAATTCTAATTACTTAATATATTCATAATCTTCTCTTAAGCTGGCACTCAGACTCGTCCTGAAGCCAAACAAATAGAA